TGCGATAGAGAAAGATGACTATAATGAAGGCGTCTAATAGTCACCGCCTATTTCGCCCTTCCACAAATAAGATCCACTTCTTATTTGTGGAAGGGCGAAATGGGCGGTGACTATTAGACGCCTTCATTATAGCCATCTTTCTCTATCGCAGGGATTTCTATGACTTTCTTTATCGCTCTCACGTAACGGCCGAGGAACCATGGGGACTTTCCGACCCTGTAAAAGCATACTTTCTAATCGCTCGTAAGTGTTTAACCAGTGCAATTTTCTTAACTTTTAGTTTGAGATGATAATAACAAAACGTATGTTACACATAGTGACCACAAACATACCTATTTGGAAAAATGACGCTATACTCACCCATTTAGCAATAGGGCAGCCATGAGAAGTTTTCCCTTCCTTTCCAGTATAGCGAACTTTTTCTATCCTGATTGCACTTCCCTTAACTCCTGTTCTACATTCCAAGTCGTACCTCAGACTCTGAAGGCTGTTGGCGCACCCTAGATGGGTATAATAAGTTCCTGGTTCTGGAGGTGCCTGATCGACAGGAAAACAACTACAGTTTGGTATTTCCATGCCCACTTGTTTAGTAGTGTTTTTTTCGGAAAATGTATCTTTGATACGCGTTCCGGGAGATATCTGGTTGTCTAATTGATTTAGAGGACTTCGTTCGCATTTGGGAGATTTCAGTGGAGATGAATTGGGAGTTGAATAATTTCTAAAGACTGATGTCGAACACGTAAAATTTGGTAAATTAGCACATTTTCTCTCTTCCCCTACATCTGTTACGAAAGATTTGGTGTCTGTATTTGAATGTTTGGAGATAAATTTATTGGCAGTACTCGTATTAACGAAGGTTGGTATTTCAGGAGCCCTCTCCCAGTTTTGAACTTGATCTTCTGATAGGTTTTTATTGATGCCATTCAAATCAGTTAAATTTTGTGGTACTTTATTATTTTTTTTCAATTCCATTGGATTTATGCGCTTTTTCATATCTTGTTCGGGTGTGTAGTAGTTGTAGGTTGACGCACAATCCGATGTTTTAAATGGACCGCGATAATTTAATAAACCATTAGGTTTGACAAATGGAGAAGCAACTCGAGAGTTCTCCTGAACGTAATTTGATAATCCCTTAAGATTTTCAGGTGACTGATTTTTTTTGTAATGTATGAATCTTTGAGAACCACTCATATTTGAAATATTCAAATTTCTAACGATTTTCTCGGGTGTACGATTATGAAAGTATTCAGCTTCTTGTACATCTATCGTGTCGGTAGGGTACGCATCGCTGAGGTCCTCGGATTTTATGTTTTGAATCGGCGTGAAATTCGATATTTGCTCGGATTTGGATGTTGGCTTAAATGATCTGCCCATTATTTGAGAATCGATTTGACGTTGATTACATAAATTATTATCAGGGCGCGTCATTCTTATATGTTGATAACCGTTCCTCGACTGGTACGCTTCAAAGTTACTTCGAAACGCAGGATCCAAGTTTTTGTCGTAATACTGTTGATTTGATGTAAAACTGAGATCGTGCTTTAAGTTTTGGGGGCCACCATCAACACTTAAGCCTTTCGTTAAGTGATGATGGTGGCTATACCATAAAAAATGACCGGTAGTATTTTGTTCTACTGACTTGGACTCTTCGGATTTAGCTTCTTGCTGCTTGTTTAATATCATCGTTTTTATGCGAGTGTTTAAGTTCACCTTATCTGCTTGAGAGAAGGTCTTAGCTTCATTGTGCATGGGTTCCACTTTATTCGGAGAACTGTTTACATCCTGCATGTACTGACTGGCCTGTTGGTCGGATGGATGATCGTATCTGGGCTCCATTTTGACCTGTTGTTGCTCCCACATCAACTGCCCTTCGTTTTGCCACTGGTGGTTTTGTCCGCTGTATTGATCCTGGCCTGGGTAACCACTAGAGTTGTGTGAAACTAGCTGCGGACTGCTGCTGTTCACTTGTGGATACCCAGGCTGACCGTTTCCCGAATTCGCGTTAGCGTAATTAGCGGAAGAGTTTGGGCTGAAATTGCCCATCGTAGTGAACGGCGTGTTGCCTTGTTGCTGCTGTGGTGTGGGTGGTTGTTGCTGTTGCGCTTGCTGCTGACTAGTTTGCTGGTTAAAATTCTGATTTGGGGTAGGAGGATTAATAATGTTGTTCACTGATCCTGGTCTAGAGTTACTCCCCGTCTGCGAATTTTCATTCCCCGTAGGTGTTGTCGCTGGCGGAATAAAACTCTGTTGGGTATTTTGCTGTTGCTGCGTCTGCTGTTGTGACATGTTGTACTCTTGGTACTGCCTATTACCTCCTGCTTGCTGCTGCTGCTGTTGTTGCGCTGCAGGACTAGGACTAGGGGTGTGAGAGTAATTCGAATTCGGCCTTGGAGGAGCTAGCGGGGCCTGCTGGTTTGGTGTGCTGGGCGGTCTAGGATTTGCCAACACCTGAACAGCGCCTGTATAAAAAGTGTTAGCCTCGAATGCGGGTTGCTGATAGGTCGTTTGGTAGATACCGTTGGGATATTGCTGGTACGTTTCTATAGGTTGACCGGTGGCCGGTATCTGTTGGATGAATTGACCTTGAGCCCATCCTATAAGAGAAAATTTGTAGCAGTCTCTTTCAAACTAATTTCGTAAACTACTATGGAAATTCATTCTGAAAATAAGTATTGAATTTGTTTTCTCTTTTTAAGTTTTTTTTTCATGTAACTGTTATATTTTTTTTATTTTAATAGATACCTACTGCAAATTAAATTTATTTTTGTTTTTCTCTTAAAGTGTGTAGGATGTAACTTTAAATGTTTTTTTTTAAAGGCAAAAGTACATAATACTAAAATGGAATTTTTTTTTTTCTTTAATCAAATAAATATGTAGTCGACTTATATCATAGTTTATAGGTCAAAGTCAGTCCCCGCATAAATATGAACCCTCTCCTGTATATATTTTTCCTCAGACTGCAACTGGTGGACTTTGTGTTTCTATAGGACTACTTATTAAAAAATAATAGATACTGGAAAAAGTTACATTCCTACCTTGTGAAGGATCAGCTTGCCAGACCGGTGTTGGAAATCTGTTCGGATCTGCGTAAAAAGGCATTGGGGCCTAAAAAATAAAAAAAAATGTTAACAACTCGAGTACAATAACCATATTTCGTAAACGAACACAAATCAACTAAGTAGGCACCTATTTTCAACTTGAATCCGCAATTACATAATATATTGTTGTCGTTTTACTTTTGCTTCATGAGTAGAGAATATCTTGCTTTATCGCTTCAAAGGCAGATTATAATATTTATTATTCGATAGACTAATAAAACAATCATGAATGGATGTGTAAACAATTGGGAAACAAGTTTGCTGATAAATAAAGTAGTACTCGACATACATTTCATTTCATTATCGAATGCTGAACAATGAAACATTTTAAATTAAAACATTTTTCGTTGCCAGTCCTAAATACTTATTGCATACGAGTATAAATACCTTGTGATGTATGTATATAAATTAAATGTATCATTTATGCTCATGAACATTCCAATTTTCACTTATAGATTGTTATTAACAAATATTTTTGTTGGCACTGCGAGTACAATAATAATCATTACGTAGCGTGTCAATATATCTTTTGATTAAGTATACATTTTAATACAGTATTGTAATCAGGGGGAATGGACCTATTTTAGTGTAGTTTTATTTTCAATCCAAAGACACACACATACCTAAAAGGGTCCTCAAAACTATAACTGGGTTTACTTAATAATGGGTCGCTAATTTATGACGATACTCTGCCGCCCCAAATATTCAGTGGCTACGGTCTTGTCTTTGTGACATTTAAACATTATAAAAATATACGTATATGTTGAAATATTAAAATTGTAAATTAGAAAACAAAACTGGATTTTAGAATGATTAGAAGCAATTAAATGTTTCCATTTTATTATTATTTTTTAAATATATTGTATCCCCTAATAAAAATATATCATTAAACCGCTGGTATTATCGTGATGATAAAAAATGTACATACAATCGTAACCACAATATTATTTACGCTTGAGGAAAAGATAAACAAGTAGTATTGTCATTTTATGTATTCGTAGCAGTTTTATGATAACCTGCTGGCAGTTATAAATCACACCATTAGCATATGAAGGAGGGGACACCATAAATAAATAGAGTTTCGCCAATTTTCACGTGGCGAAAAAGCCGAACACACGGGGACAGCTTCCTGGAGACAAAATAAACCTTTTGTGGAAGTTTATTTGGCAATTGGGGTTAAGTTGAGACAGGACGAATACGATTTTGTTACCCCAAGGGGGAAAGGGAGCCCCTGACCTGCCTCAACGGTAGGGTAGAACGACCCTTCAGCTATCAGACAGTGATCTCCCCAATCCCCAAATCTCAGCTGATGATGATAACGGCCCCTTTCATTATCAAGGTTAAACTGCGACGGTTTTCCTCCGGAAAAAAAGGCGTGAAAATTTGGTAGCTTGTTTTTCGACGGATACACGTGTGACACCGATATTCTGTTGACACAAATTTACCGAGCAATTCCCTCCACTTATCAGAATAAAAATAAGTATTAATTCCTCTTCACGATATTTCAAAGATGAAGTGTTAATCAATTGCTTTAGGGGTTTGAAGATACAAAATTCAGTGTACAGCATGTAAAATTTCCTGAAATGTAATAGTTTGCTGCGTGTAAAATTTCACTGAAATTACCCAGTAACGTTGGAACCAGAAAATGTGAAACAACAAGGTCTTCAAGTGCGATTTACATAAAAAATAACCAAAACTTTTGTGTCCATAGAACTTGTAATATACAGGGCGTTCTCGTACAAAAAAGTTAAATAAATAGAGCGTTAGCAGTTCAGTTATTGTGTGGTTCGTATGTGACACTGTACAGGGTGTATTTCAATGAAGGAGCTACCAGACAGTTTTGACAGTGAAAATATGATGATCTCTCTACAAATTGTCCATCAGGTTAAAGTATTGTCATCAGACTAACTATAATCCATATGGGACTAACATTTAACGCAAATTGCCTCTTAATGTATGGGCTAGCTTAATAAAAAGTCATTTATTTAATTGGGGCATAGACACGGACAAATTATTTAATTTTTTTTATTAATTTATCCACTGAATATTCGACAAGAAATATGTATTTACATGACGGAGTTCTAGCACGTATGTATATCTAAAGGTCTGATCCAATATTTGAACAATGTATTCGAAAACCGTTGAATTGGACCGAATAGCCTGGTAATCTGATATGAACCATTTGTGGGATTATACGAAATCTTTAACGTATTCCAGTTAGGTTGAACGGGACGAGCAATAAGTGCAAGTCACACCTTATTTCATTTAATGTAATTTGTACATTGTTGTCAAATCAGAAAAAAGAAAACTGTAGACTTCATTTTTAAATATCTTGCAAGTGGGTGGGCTTAGGAGCAACGTCACAAAAGGCAAATCTGTTTATTTTGCGGTAGGTATTCTGTGGGTGAGATATAGCCTTCAAAGTCTATGCCACAGATTTTGTTGGATAAAGCAAGTAGCTCGCAGTGTAGTTGATTCCCACAATATAATTAATTAAAAATTGTCTAATTTGTGCATAATAAACAAAAAATAAATAGAACATAAAACTCACCATTGGTTGCTGTTGGACGGGCATAGGCTGTTGAACGGTAGCCGGTTGCGGACTAGGTCTGGAAGGAGGCTGGGGCGGCACTACGGACGCGGTATTCGTCTCGGAGGGTATGATGCTAGTGGGTGCCACGCCGCCACTGGGTTTCCGTCCACGGTAGCTCTGTAACCGCCAAAATTGTCATTATTTGTCTTGACGTTTCAAAGTAGGTAAGTACCTCTTAACTCGGCGGTAATGGCGGTTATAATGAATAGGGGGTCTTCAGACTGGGTAATGTGCGTAACTATGGAAGTAGGGGGTGGCAATAAGTCAGGTAGCCAAAATGTGTGTGTAGACTAATATACTAATATGTAAGTAATGTATAAATGCCTATGCCTAATATATTATGTAGTTATGTATTTATTTATTTTTCATTATTTCGTAGCAATTTATTAGAAACATTTTTTTTTTATAAATAACCCGGAAGGGAAATGTTTCAAAAAATCAAAATTTCAAAAGAATTTCATGTGAGCACTATGATGCTTCTTGTACACCCAAACTACCACCCTACCACACATATATTTTGAATAGCCTATTGAAATGGAAGAGAGCGCGTAGGTAAAAAATGGCGCCAAATTTAAGAAACTCGTACAGGAAGACAAGAAATAAGTACACAATCAAGCAACTTTCCACATACATATTGTGACCACGCGGAATGAATAGATATTAAAACCATTTATGTTCTATTTATAAGTAGGCCATATCCCACACGTAAAGCAGCATTTATCAGAGCTTATCGCAATTCTCAAATACCACCAAACAACCAAAATCCCGCGCCTACTTCATCTTGTCGCTTTCCAATCGATTAGTTTCCATAAAAATTATTACGTAACCGAATAAGCACGTGAAAAAAAACCAGGTATATACAAAAGCCCTCTGGATATATCCACCACATCATTAAATTAGACGTACACAAGCTTATTATTACTTTCGTACCTGTTTGAAGGTCTCTAAGCCGACTCCTGGGCCTGCCTCAAATAAAATTCGCTCGATCACAGAAAAGGAAAATAATTTCTTTTACCTAACTCTACCTATTTAAAATAGCCTAGAATTGGTCATGACATAATTTTTCTAAGTATATAATTTAAGTAAAAACGTCGATATTAAACTAATGAACACATTCGGTTGCAAAACAAAGCTCGACTATACAACCTAGCACGTATAATACGAGCATGGGTACTAAAATATTGTTAGTTTCCCCTACTTTGATGGATTATAACATCGCGTTGTTATAAAAAACGTGCAGCGCCTGAAATGCAGCCATTTTTCGAGTGAAATTGAGTGCTCCTACGTAAAACGTACGTCTGTTATTAAATGACGTGTTCGAGACGCCACGACCACGAGCGATCTGGTACGGGTTTTGAACACTGAGTGGATATGTTAATAATTGTAAAATCGATCATTTTCCTTGAAAATTGTACCTACTAATGTCCCTACAACGCAAATTATCATATTATTCATAGCAGCATAAAATTTAAGCGGACCGACATCCTCAACCGACAAACCGAAGTTGTATATCTGGTTGCAGGATTGTAGGGTAATCGTTTCCTCATAATAACGTAATATCTAACAAATTAACATTGAACTTTTGAAGAAGCAGAAGATTTTTATTTACGCATCGAGTGGTGGTTTTAAGGAAATATACCCCTCTAAAGTGGATTAAGTAAGTAATAAAAATGAGATACAGGATGTTAATTTATAAGTAAATCAAATGAAACTATGCAATCCACAACACAAGTACCTAGTACCTACATGAAATGGAAGTAGCTATATAACAAAATGAAAAACTAGAAAGGAAAAAATTCCGATATTGTATAATAGTATCAATATGTATAAATGTTACTCTTCCAGCTTAAGAAATACGTTATTATTAGTTAGTACCAATTTTGTCAATATTCGCCTTATGTATGATTTTAAAATTCATAAAAAGCGTTTTTGTTTATTTGGCAAGAAGAGAACCGTTTCTAATTATTCTATAAATCACCCTGTGCACACCGCGGCATTTCCAATCAAAATTCCAAAAGGGGGCGAATTAATTTTTGCGAGTGGCCGACGTTCCGCCGCGGCCGCCGCGACAGATTTTATATTCTGACCGCAAGCGGGCATGTTATTAAAAAACTCCGTCATCTCACGCCGATAGTATAATTTTGTCATAGCTGTACGAAGCGTAATTGCAAATTTCGAAGTGCTTCGCGCAGGCGCACGTCAATAATCAATATCATCCACCTTTACTCGAGGGATGAACATCACAAATGCGCATCCGAGAGCTGCTTTCGCTACCCCATTGCCAGTGCAACGACTTTCACTGCCGCGCCAGTTTTGCGACATTGCATTTAATAAACGTAACACGAACTTAACGTAACCAAAACTTTTTACTGGCACCCCCTCGTATCCGCCCACTCATACTTAAATTCACCACCACCGAAAGAAATAAAAAGTAAATTAATTTAAAAAAAAGCATAAATAAGCCGGAAACTTATCGATTTTTCATTTCGTATTACAAGTTTTTGAGAGAACCGATAAAAATATAATTTCTTCCGAAAGTGATAAATTATTTATTGTTTATTCAAGCAATAGATAGGTATCAATGTAGGTATCAATGTTTTACCAGAACACAGATATTGCAAACAAAAATATAACCTTCTATTTCTAGTTTATTATCTTTCAAAAACGGCTTACATTTAATAAAACTATACTACCTACTATCTAACTATAAATAAATAATACCTACTCTGTAGTCGATTTCTAAACTATGTTGTTCTTAACAGAAATTGACTGAAATGCTTTTTATATTTCACTGAGCCTCATGTAAATTGATTGAAAAAATAACAATAGGTCTATATTTTAAATTATTTAATAACTTATAATGGCTTTAAGTGAAAAACCTACCGCTCCGCCTCTGCCTTTCCCCCTCCCTCTCCTAGATTCACCTCGAAGGAAACCGTCTTGGTACAGATTCTAAAACAAAAATAAAAAAGAAAAATAAATAAAAAGAAAATAAAAATAAAATGGATATTTTTTTCAAAAATATTAAAGATCGCATTGGAAAAATTAAAAAATGACGACATTTATACAAAATGTAAATATTACGTGGGTAGTTCATGCTATCTATCTATATTATTATTACATTTATTTTAGCAAAATATATGACAACTAAACAACAATCTTAAACATTTTTAACAGACGTCATTTTTCAATTTTAGTCGCTATTTATTAATTTTTAATTGCTTTTTTAATATACCTATACAAATCCAATACAAAAGTTAATGCTTTAACTTTTATATTAAGCTTGATTTTCTATGTCTATCCACTTTAACTTGTTTATTTAAGGCAGCAAAATTTTGTAAAAAATGTGAGCTCATGGGATTTTTTCTGTACTTTCCTGGCTAAGACTAAGAAGGAAGTGTATTATAGTCTAAAAATTGATCAAACATATTAGTATACAGGGTAGATAAAACAGTATACTTTTTTTAAATGGGACACCCTATATCTGAATTAATTTATCGATTCTTCGTTTAACATTTCTAAGTCATATGCTCAAAGTCAACGGTCTTTGAAATATTATCAAATAAAAATTAATAAAAAAGCCTAATTACTTAACTATCATATAAAAATTCATGTTCTTAAATATTAAGTTGCCCCACATCTTGCTCGATGCATTTTAGTAATGTTCCCCGAAGTTTCTCCAAAGATCCTCTTACAAAATCAGAATGGTTTTCATTTAGTTCATTTATTTAATTCCTAATTAGTTGCTTTGGATGTTCTATATTATTTTCAATATGATTTTGATAAATGCGATTTTTTAAATATCCCCATAGAATCTATTGGTGTAAGATCTGGACTGTTGGCTGGCTAGTTAATAATTGGCGAGTCCCCATTCAAGTTTTGTTAAAAAAAATAGTCCAATAATTTTGTTATCCATTAGTCCGCACCAAACGTTACCGGACTGGCGCCCTTGAAATCTAAATTCTCTGTAATAGAATGGGTTTTCTGGGAGCCCAATACCTGGTATTTTTTCTATTTATCATGCCATTCGTAGCAAAAGTAGACTCGTCCGTCCACAAGATCCATCATAAGGCGGCAAAATTCTACTCTATTTTCTCTATGTGTCTGTGTCAGTTTTTGAGTGTGTATGATCTTGAAAGGCTTGTAACCAGCTTTCTTAAGAGTCTTCTGAACTTTTGAATAGAACGTATCTCGGACATTCCATTCTTGTGAACTTTTTGAAATATGCCTTATGTATATATTTGGATTTTCTTGCATAAAAAGTAATATAGGTATTAAGTTGCGCATCTTCGTTATCTTGCACCACTCTTTTCTTTCTATTTAGACTTGATGTTTGTTGAAATTTTTCAAATATCCTTTTAATTGTTTTTTTTTTGCCAAGAGCGTGCATTCTTGCAAGTTGCTTTGCTGCGGCATTATAGTTTATTTAGAGCATGGCAGTTTTAATAACAATTTGCAGCGAAACTTTTATTATAATAAATTAATTCAGATATTTAAAAAAGTATACTGTTTTATCTACCCTGTATACTAATATGTTTGATCAATTTTCAGATACCTGTGCAAAAAGTATAGAAAAAATCCTACAACCTCAGATTTTTTACAAAATAAACAAGTTAAGGTGGATAGACATTTAGAAAATCACCCGCTACAGGGATACTCAAATAACATCCTAACTTCCTTTATCTTTTTCACCTTCCATCTACATAAAAAATATGTCTAAAGACTAAAGTTTTAGAAAATGTTTTTATCATCTAAAAGAATACAAAGTGTTAATTATTAAGTACCTATCTATGTCAGACACGTTAAAGGGTGAATCTCTGAGTAATTTTAAATTAAAAATGTTGGTGGTAGGTTTTCAAAATATTCAGTAACGTCTAAATTTTGGCGTTTTTAGAGCAACTATCACTCGGTATCACGTCACTGGACATGAATTTATATTCGAATTCATTGAGTTTGCATCTTTAATTAATTAAATCGTTTAGTCTAAATTTCCTCCTTCTACATCGAACGTCCTCAGGGATATTTTAGAAAATGTGTATTTTTTAATTTCAACCTTGTATTTCGAAAACTATTGATAAACCCATGTTTACATAACCTTTTCAATTTTCAAAAATCATCCTTTATGGTTTCTCCACATACTTAATTAACGCCCGGTATAAAATACAATTAAACGGTGCAATTCGAAGATATAAACCAAACTTGTGTTTTTTCATCTTATTTTTACATATTATTATGTACTTTGACGGTTTGCACAAAATTTTAGTTTATTTACTGACACTTTAAAACGGATAAAATCAAGTTTGTGATAGAACCAGTATTTATTTATGCTTTTCTGCTATTAAATTTATGAAACAGATCTTTAAATATTTATTAAGAAAGGAAAACGATTGCTTTATAAAAACACCATCGTGTTTTAAACAAAGTACATTTTTTCAAATATATTTCTTATTAAGGGACAATTTTATTATTTGCAAGAAGTTCAAATTTGACCACCGTAAGTTTTCCCTCTTGGGATTCCAAGAGATAAAGTAAACCAAAAACGATCTAATAATTTATATAACCCAAAGGAGAAATTATTGAACAAAGTTCGATAAGACAAAAAGAAAACTTGTTTTTTAACATACCCTTGTCGAACAGGAAGGTATTATAAACCACCTTTTATAATAAGATATTTTTTCTTAATAGAGAATTTAAAGATTTTTTAATAAATTTCATGGCTCCATGACAATCTTGATTATGTGCAGGATCAGTAAATAAACCAGAATATTGTACAAACTATCATAGCAAATATGTGATATGTATATAACATTGTAATCTGAAAAAATAGAGGAATCCAAGAAACAACAAATATTCAGGGTGTTCTACTTAAAAAAAGATAAAAGTTTGGTTTAGATTTCCGATATGTAACTTTTATTTCTTTATTATATTTACCATTGTTTCCTATTTAGAAAGGAAAAAAGAAATTATTTGAATACCCCTGTATGCTATTAATTAGATGAAAACCGGCGTGTTTATAAGCCAACCATATTATTTGTATTCTGTCAAAAATTTCAGGTACAAAAATTACAAAAATAGTGAATAATTTTCGTGTAATAATAATAATAATAATAAATTAATGTAATTAAATAAAAATACATAATTTTCAAATTCTTTGTCCACTGTTAGTTTCAATTTAATTATGTAATAGTTTTTTAACTTTATGGTGTAAACTGAAAACTTAGAAAATGTAAAACAAATGAGAATTCAAATTACCTAATAAGATGAAAATAAATCAAATAAGATGTCAAAAAATAATACAGAGATGATCATTTAATAAATTAAACAGACTTTAATTAAATCAATTTTAAAAAAATGATATTAGGCTATACGATGCATTTGAAATCAAGTTAATAAAAAAATTTAGATGCAAAAATGACTTTCTCATTTGTAGTCTTTATCTAACGATTTGTTGTCTACCACAAAATAAAATGCTACTGGCGATGGGCGTACTGATAAATATATCAGGCGTCGCAATGTGGATTCTTTTTTATTTAATCTCCGGAAAATCATGAAAAAAAAAACTGCAGTGCATATTAAAAATTTTTACTGTTTATCCCTCCGTTTTAAGATCGTTCTTTAAATATATGTGAACAGTGATATCCTAAATTTAGGTATATACTTTTTAAAATAGGTCCTTATAATGACAAGAGCTTAGTTCGTTTAAGCAGTTTCAGTCGTATAACAACAGAGAGTAGAAGTGCTATAAAGATTCCATTATGATGAGATATTTTTGCATTTAGTAACTAACTTTACAAGTTTTGGAGCATGCACCGGGTTATGATATCTAAGTATGTACAGCTAAACATATAATGCAGAAAAATATACGTATGAGAGGTCTATTAGTTTTGGAAAAGCGAAAAAAAATACAGAAAATATGATTGAGTGTATAACACAAAAATAAAAGGAAAATATAATTTTTTATAAAAAATAATACAAATGTGAAATACATAAGTAGGCATATATAATTTCGTAACAAAATAGTAGTAGGTAGAGATAATAATAGAGGCAAAATTCTGCGAAACGCGATAGGGTATACTTTGTGCCGCGCTCAAAAAATAGCCGGGTTTAATGACCTTTGTCATCCACCCCTTGTATTTGGGATCCGGTTTTCTAGATCCTTCCCATTCAGCCATTCCGTAATAAGAAAAGGACGAAATGCGGGCTCCATACCAAAGTAGGTACACAAAATGGTTTATTAAATTTACATGAAAATATAGAGGTGCATGGTTCTCAATAAAACGTCCTTTCCAATAGGTACAGGAATCGTATGGATTCAGTATTTGCTTATGGAATATAAATCAACTAATACTTGGGTAATAAATATGAAAAAAATCATAAGACATAATAATAAATAGTAATAAGTTTTATTTTTTCTATTATAAATGTTTAAAAATAATAAGTACGTATAAATATTTTGTATGTGTGTTTTTTACTAGTTCTATGTAGTTTTAATAGAAACTTTAATAGAAATATAACTTTGGTTGCTTCTAACTTTTATCTTTGAAGTGTGAATAAAGTTCCTATAGAATAGCTACCGTACGTGATTTTCACAGCATCTAAAACCGAAACTCTTCAAAAATATAAACAGCGTCTGCGTGCGGATCTCCGTGTGTGAATGTATGTATATGCCATATTGGGTGCAAGCGGTAGAAAACCGCCCGTCTGCCTATATATCCGGTAGCCGACTAACCAGGTGCGCTCGTTTTTCCAGGGCTGTCCATCCATACATTTACCATAGAGAGGCCCAGAATGAACAAAGGTGGCATTATGCATAAAAGTTATAAAAGTCACCAAAACTAATTTCCCATCTGCTCAAAATTACTTTCCATTGTCAAAAGTATTATTTCAACATATCCTCAAGGCCACGCAATGACATCAACGAATCTGTATCAATACCGCCAAAAGTAGCAATA